TGTCCCTGTAAGTGCTGGAGTGAGAATGAGGAACAAGAGAAAAAGAAAAGAGAAGGAATGCAACTCTTTTCTCGATGGTCACTTGACACTGTCTTAGACAGTATACATTTCCTCTTTCCTCAGTCCACAAAAGGATAAGCTGTACAACCTTTTCACAGGTTAATGTGTTAAAAGTAAACTTGAGCAGCAGGATCATTATAAGGTCACCAGATACTGTAAAACATCTTTAAAGAGGCTTTAGGATGTCAGGTGTTTCCTGTGTTAGTTTTCCATATATACTGCTTTGCAGTCAATTTCAGAGTAATAGTGAAAGGCACTTTAGTTAAACTGACTCATTCAGTTGTGATTTTCTTGTGCTTTCAGTTCTCCACTAGTATTTTTCCACATACTGGAGGACCTCCCTCTTTTCATACACTACACTGCATCGCTCACCTCCTCCAGCATCACCTCCTGAGACAGCTGGGGACTCAATCTGCACACAGTGATTACTAGATAATGGAAACAGACAGTTCTTTAAAGAGAGAAAAGTGAAAGTTTGCTGGTTCACTTCCAGCTAGAGACACAAATCCCCTTCGAGCTTGCATCTGGTTTAAAACTGCCAAATCAAACATGCAGAGCTACCTGCAGTTAACCCTTTTGTCACAAGAAGGCAGCAAAAGTTTGCTGACATTCAGACTTTGGCTAAAAGACAATGCCAAATCAAACACTACATGTGTTAGGAGTGTGACAGTTAAACTGACCCAGCTGAAGTCTCTAGACCTGTGATGCTGTAAAAATATTTTGTGTGTTTTGAAATTCTGCATCATGCATGTGAGACTGCAGCATTTGGGTTCCCAGATGTTTGTAGAAGCTGAAAAGCTTATTTTAAAATTGAAAAATGTTTACACAAACATCTTTCCTTGACCCTGCAGCGGTGAGTTCTTCCCTCCACACCACTCAAGCTGCTGTAGTTATCTTTTGATATTCAGTTTCACCTCATCATGAAACTGAATATCACATCAGGTTTGTTTTTGATTGAGTGTCATTCTGCCTGTAAACACGAAAGCTCAAAAACCTGAATCAACTTAATAAGTCATTTGTTGAAATTTGACAAAAAGCATAGAAAAGTTAAATAAACTTAAACAAACTATGAACCTTATATATATATATATATATATACATACAGCTGCAGCCCCAATCCACCTGTCAATCTCCCACTCACGTCTCAGATTCGGAGGTGCTGTTTCTCATCCCCACCATTTCACACTCAGCTAGAGACCAGTATGGGCTAGAGACCATCACCTGATGAAGCCAACAGAACTGCATTATTTGCAAAAAGCAGAGATGTGATTCTGAGACCACACAAGTTGAAGCCTTCATGCCATTTGGCTACATCTAGAATTCTGTCCATCAAAATTATAAACAGAATTAGAGACAAAGTTCAGCCCTGGCAGAGTCCATCACCCACCAGAAACAAGTGAGACTTATTGCCGGCTATGCCGACCAACCTCTTGCAATAGTTGTATAAGGATCATTGCTCTGTATCGTTTGTGTGAACGCCTGGTCTAAGCTGTGCTATTTGGCCTTTTTTACTTTTCTACGACAGCTTGATGTGGGTTCCATAGTCTTCTATCGGGGTGGTAGGTCACATCAAATGTTGTGCTTGAGTTTTGGTGGAGTTTGGTAGAAGTTTAAAATTATTTGTACCCCTGTAGGAAGAAAACATTGTTTTATTTCTGTCGAGAAACCTGTGGTGGACTTCGCCACAGCTTGCCGATACTTATTAGGGTGCGACCCTAAACTGGAGATAGGTCACTTAAAAACGGATATGAAGCAAAGTGGGAGGTAAATTGTTCAGTGTGATGTCCTGCTTTAATTTGCAGATTGCCAAGCTGCTGCTTTCCGGGGGTGGATTTCTGGCTCCTAATCTAATACCTTGGCTCATGTGATTAGGTAGAGGATCATCAGGGGTCCTTTGTCCCTCTTTGGGGGGATACTCCCACTGGGTTTAAATCTGGGATTCTCCACCATTTGACTCTTAGAACTGAAGAAGCTTCTCGGATGAGAGGTGAAATGTCTTCAAGCAACTTAAAGAAGTCCAGACGCTTTTCTTTCCAAGCTCCTTAGACATCAGTTTTTATAGTGTGTTCGGGGATGGAAATTTGAGCTGTGAGCTTAAAAGGATTGTTTGTGAGCATCCAGACTATGATCTACTGTCAGAGATGAAGACCTTAGGTGGGAGCGGGAAAGGTGAGTAGGAGCAGAACAATGCCGGTTCAGGAGTTATTCTTTCCCGTCAGTGTACAGCATCCACTATACAGGTAAATGTGCCAATGGATACTGTTGGGTCAGAATTGGCAGAGGTTAAGCAAATGTTAAAACAGCAGCAGACCCAGCTTATACATGAGTCGAGACTTGCTCATACAAGAAGTAAACCTAGTTTTATGCAGAGAGGAAGGAAGGCTGTTTGCAGATGGCATTAAAAACCTGGCCGTTTAGCTAAAGATTGTGATCATGAGACGGTAGTAGCATTTGAGTCTACGGCCCCTAGCAGGAGCTCATCTGGTCAGTGCACCTTTAATGTGTGCTCAGTAAACTAGTACCCTCTGTTATGCTGAGCCACATATCAGATGGGGACATAACTGGCTCCAACAGTTGCAATTTTCAAATATTTGCCCCACACACCCCCCCACCCCAATTGTCAGGATCCTGTCCAAAGGTTACATTAACATGTGAAGGGTAGATGTCTCATGTTTACTAGATACTGGGTCCATGGTTACTACCATCACAGAAAGTTTTCTTTGTCAAACAGTTTAAGAACTAGCTTCCAGATAAACTGAAATCATGCCATTGGCCTTGGTTAAGTGCAGCTAATGGGCGAGATATTCCCTATGTAGGCTACCTGGAACTTGATTGTCAGGTGTTAGGCTGGCAAATACCCATTAGTGGTGTGCTAGTTTTTATAGATCCTTTGGAGGCCAACCACAACTCAGAAATATGTGGAGATCTTGGCATGAATGTGATCAGTGAGTGCTATAGGGAGCTATTTTTGGAACATAGCCCTACTCTTTTTTACCTTCCTTTAGTGCGGGAAGATCTTTGGCAGCAGGCTTTAGCACACCGCCCAGCTGCAGCCTGAAGTACAGGTTAGTGGCCCAGTGAGAGTTAAATGTAGGAGAAGAATTTGCATCCCAGCAGGCACAATGAAATTTGTACCTACCACATGTTGAAAAGCACCATAAAAATATTGTTAATAAAAAAACACATATATTTTGTATTTTAAATATGTAACAGCAGTACATGTATTCTGTTACTCCCCAACACTGTATAAAACCTAAATCAAGCTGTCTTAGAAAGATTAAAAGGCCAAATAGCACTGCTTAGACCAGGCATTCACACAGCACCAGATTCACACAGGCGATCAACTAATTAACTGCACCTGTGATTATAAAGAGGAAAAACAGCCCTGCCTACCAGAGGTGGTTCCCAGACTCAGGTCTTACCTGTCACGTTGATGAGAATTACATTAACATGAATTGAATATGATTTTGAATATCTGCTGCAGTATATCAGTTCTACACTAGAGGTCTCTTTGTAGTGAAAGAAATGATTGATAAACAAGGAAGTGACGGTATTAAAACTGAATGCAGCTCGGAGAAACATTTAAATCAGCTCTGGATTCAGTCTATCCTCTTAGATAGCTGTTGATTGATTCCGGTTTCTGATATTTTTTCAAGATTAATATGAACAGCGGCAGTAACTAGGCCTTTAAAATATTCATACAGCCAACTTTTTCTGATTAGAAGTTAAAATTAATAACAGCTATGTTGTTGGCAGAAGCTGGATGTTTGTTTCTGGGTTTCATTCTGTGCCTCTCAGGTAAGAATAATTTGTTTCTCTTCATGATAACTGTAAGGAATATGTGTCAGGAATGTAGAAAAAAGACGCAGAGAGTTACAAGTTTATTTAAGAAATGAGAAAAGTCTCAGTTACTTGTTCTGCTGTTCTGAAATCTGAAGTATATCAAAGCACCAGATTGTGATCCTTCACAGTAACATGCTGTCATCACAGATTAGCACAGAAAAGAAAGTTAGCATAAATGTTCACCATGTTTTCTAATCACATGTTGTGTTAAAGGTGTTCAGGGAAAACCAAACAGCATCTGTGCCTTGAAAGGTTCATCAGTGAATCTGCCCTGCTCACATCAACATCCCACTGCAAGAAATAACTGGTACGCTGGATACTTGACTATCTCCAAGATATTGTTCACTACAGATGAAACACATGTAAAATACAGCATGTCAGCAGAGAGTAATTTCACTCTAACAATCAATAATCTGACAGAGAGAGATGCAAATTTTTACTGCTGCATTAAAACTGCTGACAGATCAAAGTGCCAACAAAGTGGAATTAATTTCCAAGTTACAGGTACAGTTCTTTTTACAAATGTATGACAAATGAATGAGTTTATGGATGATCAGTGTATTCATGTTGGTCATGTGACCTCTCAGAGCTGCAGGTAAAGGTGATTGCTGCCACAGAGGGACAGACAGTAACACTGATGTGCAGCAGCAGCTGTCCTCTGACTGAAAAGCCTGCAGCCTACATCTGGTACAAGAACAGAGAGTTTCTCTATGAGGACTGGTCTCCCTGGTACCAAGAGCTGCTCAGCAGTGAGGAAGCAGTCACATACTCCTGTGCTGTCAAAGGCTACGAGGATCTCAGAACCCCTGAAGTCTCTGTGGGTGAGTCATGATGGACACCTCCTCATTATGTTATGAGATGTTAAACACAAACACTTTACTCTTCAGACTCTAATGAATTTACTGGAAGTTGTTGTTTTTTCTCAGGTTCCATCACAGAGACCTGCTTCAGTGTGACCTATGCTAAAGGGAGAATGTGTTCTTCTCAGCAGACATCAGTGGACGAGTCCTGCTCCATCACATATCCCAGAGGTGAAGTTCTGGACAAACTGCACTTTGAAACTTCATTTTTATTTGTTAATTTATTTGACATGACAGAGATGAACTGGTGGGAAATGTGTTTATCATCTCCCAACAGAAATTCATGTCCAGAGGACTCCTGCTGAACACAGAGGTCACATCAGACTGACCTGTAACAGCAGCTGTTTTCTGACTGACCCTCTGATTTCCTTTGTGTGGTATGAGAACAGAAAGCCTACAGTGCAGGAGGGAAAACAGATTCTAGTTCCCAGCTCTAATCATGACAGTTTGTCTTGTGCTGTAAAAGGTCTTGAGGATGTGCGCTCTGCTGATGTCTGTGAGTAAACTTGTTACATATTGTCTGTAAACTTTTATGGTACAGTTGATTGTTCCGTGTTGTTGTTAGAATATCTGACCACAATAACAGAAACACTGTAAATTTTAATGCTACAATAATAATGTGTTAAGCACCATTTTTAAGATCTGATAATGTTTTATTTTGTTGGAACAGTCACAGATGTTGTTCTTTTGCATTTTTAGGCTGTTTTGACTGATTATTGTATGAGGTGTGAGTCTCTGTTATAGCTTTTGGCAATTGTCAGTGCTTATTTTGCAATAATTTTATATATTTTGTAATGATTTTGTAATAATTCACTGAGGGTTTTTTTCTGAAAACTGTTTTTTTAATCAATAATTTACTGTATATCTTATAGGTCCTGATAAAATATTTGCATAGCAATTGATTAAAACTTTATGATCAAGGGAAATCATTTACATATGTGATACAAGAGCATACATAAACGAAAATGATTTGTAAATTATTTCTGTTTATGTATGTATATTATTTTTCTGTTTCATCCATATTTCAGGTTTCAGTGATTCCTGCTGGAGTTTGAATTATGTCCACAGCAGAATCTGTGCTCTGGAAGGATCTTCAGTCAACATCTCCAGTAAATACTCACATCCTGACTATGAGCAGATACAGTCTAAATGTTGGTATAAATTTAAGGGAAATGCTGAGGAGGAAGCTGAACAGCTGACTGAGGACGCAGATCATGTGGAGTATGATGACAGCATGAAGAACCAACACATCCTCAGATTAAAGAAGCTGAAGAGAGATGACTCAGGAGAATACAGGTTTACAATCACAACAGAAAATGAAGAAGTGATAGAGTCTGATTTTCTTGGAGTTACTCTGATTGTCACAGGTAATTATGGTTTGTCATTATATATGTAAAAACAACTGTCAACACAATATCCTCTGCAATGCTTTCAACTGAATTGACAAGAAAAAGATGCAGGAATTTTCCTCAGGTGATGATGATGTTTTATTTAGTCAAAAGGCTACAAAGAGTTTTTTAATGCTTCTTGCACTCTTCAGAAGTTAGTGAAAATCCAAAGCACCAAATCCTGTTTTCTCTTTAATGAGAAACCGTTACAGTTACTGACCAGTCGGAGTGTTTTTCAGAGCTGAGAGTGAAGATGAGTCCTTCTGCAGTGGTGACAGAGGGTCAGAGAGTCACACTGACCTGCAGTACCAGCTGTCCTCTGACTGACAACACAAACTACATTTGGTACTTGAACAGTCGACCTCTGACCCCGAGAGAGAACCAAACCAAACATCTGATCCTAGACCCAGTCAGCAGGGAGAATGCAGGAAGCTACTCCTGTGCTGTGAAAACTAACAAAGATATCAGCTCTGCTCCAAAGACTCTCACTGTCCAAAGTATCACAGGAACACGGATACGAGCACCTGCAGGAGTTTCTGCAGCTCTGCTGGGTTTAATACTTCTCCCTATCACTGTCTTCTTGTGTATTAGGTGAACATTATTGTGTTATCTCTAAGACCAGTCATGTTTAAACTGTGAAAGGAAATGTTTTATCCATTCACCAATTTATTTGTTTTTGTGCAACAGTAAAAAGAAGACTTCCAATCCATAAACTTTACAGAATTTCAGAGACATTGCAGCAATAGGAATGTATATGTGTGTGTGTCAGGTTGTGTCTTAGACTCCACCTTTCTCAGAACATCTCATGCTGCCCCAGGTGTGGGGGTCTATTTCCCCCTACCATGCTCCCTGCCGGTGGCTGGTGCCCCACCCACCAGCTGCTGCTTGGTGGGGCCTGGTCCCCCTGGCTGTGTCCAGGGCCTGCTGGGAGGTGGGGGCCCAAGGGTCTCTGGCAGGCTAGCAGGCTGCAGGCAGAGCTTGCGGGCTCATCGCCAAGGCTCCTGGGTGACTCCTGTCCGA